GGCAGACCTCTCCTGACACACCCGCTGCTCCCCTCAGCAGTGTACTTCGTCCATCTGCCTGTTCTGCTCCCCGCTCTGTCTCTGGTGAAGTCTTTCACTGCTCCTGAGCCTCTGGCCTGTACCCCAGTTCTGTATGTACAAATAAATAAATCTTAAAAAAACCAAAAAAACAAATACTTGTGAATTTGAAAATATCCTCAGTTTCTAACATTTGCACGTTACTGTAAGTCCTAGAGTTTGGCCACGTAGGTACTTACATCCCAATGAGCGCGGTCCTCCTACTTTTCTCCTTCTTTAATGTTTAACAGGAGCTTCTCCATTCTTTGGTTCTTCATTTGACTCATTTATATTGGGCTCTGTTTTTAAAAATCCAGTATATTACCATTTTGCTTTGCAGTGTTCCAGGAAGAGGTTGTTGTTAGTTTTTCTCCTGGAATGTTTTCATGTCTTTTGAATGAGAGTTTAGTCCATTTACATTTAAGGTGATAACTGATGTATTTGCATTGACATTTTGCTAATTTCTGGTGAAATTTGGAGTTTTTCTGTTTCTGTCTTTTTGTCTTCTTTTTCTCATTCATTGAGGGTTGTTTTTGTTTTTGTTTTTAATGGTTGTTAATTTCCTTTATAATATTTTATGTTTTTATGTAGATGTCTGCTGTATCTTCTTGCTCTTTCCCACCTACATGAGTTCCTTACCATGCAAAGCCAGTTTACTGATAATAAACTTTAAGCAATTGCTAGTCTGAAAAGTTCTATTTCCTTAAGTATTTTCCTTAAGTAGTTTTCCTCTCTTATGGGAAAACTATAAGTGAATAGTATTTCTCCTTCTCTTTTTCCAGAGATCTCTTAGGACATTTACATTTAAAAAAAAAAACAACAAAAAACAAAAAAGCAAAACTTTTTTTTCATTTGGCTGTTCTGGGTAATTTCTGTTACTTTGTCTTCCAGTTCATGTATTAGCTCCTCTGCTTCATCCAGTCCGCTCTTGGATCTCTCAATTGTACTTCTTGTTTTTTAAGATTTATTCATTTATGCTTACAAAACTTGGGTACAGGCCAGAGGTGTGGGCGTGAGAGGATTCACCAGAGACAGAGCGGGGAGCAGAACAGGCAGATTGGCTGAAATAGACTGCTCAGGGAAGCAGTGGGTGGGTCAGGAGAGGTCTGCTGCGTCATGTGGGTCACCACCCTGGCCAGGGATCAAACTCGTGCTGCAGTGGCTTTGGAGAGCTTCATTGTGCTATGCTTTAACCTGCTGTGCCACTGCTGTATTAATTGAGGGTTCTATTATTGTATTATTCTGTATTGCAGCAGTTTTTGGATGGCCCTTAAATTTTATAATCATCCATTCTTCTTCCAAGATTGTTGAAGAGCTTTATAACCATTAGGTTATATAACCATCTTTATAACCTTAGTTTGTTTATCTTCATTTCTTTATGATCTTTTCCCAGAGTTTTGCTTTGCTCTGTCATTGAAGCTTGTCCCTGTCCTTCCCCAAAAATATTTGCCTGGTTCTCTGTGTTGACTTCTATGTTACAAGTGCGACTGCTGTTTCTTTTACTGTGAGAGATTGTTCTTGTGCCGGTGATGTTGTGTGGGACTCTGCATTACTATCTCCCTTGCTCTCTGAGTTAGCTGCTCAAGGCATGTCCCCTATGCAGGCTATACTTATCTTCCTGCTATGTTGGGGTACTACTGTGGGCAGGGCAGCTCGCCCTGGCAATTTGGTTGTGTTTAGCCTTGACCGTGGACCAAGATATGCTCAGTAGTTGAAACTGTGGGTCTAGCCGTGGCATATGGCTGCACAGACTTACTGCAAAATGTGCCCCAGCATCTGGGTTGGCAGAGGCTTGCAGTGCCACAGCAGAGAACAGTGACAAGGAGGTGGCTCGCTAGGCTGCACTGGGCTGGGCTGCTGGTTCTGGTACCTCCGGGGCTACCTCCATGGAGTGTTGTGAATGGAGCCTTGCAGAACTAAATGGGACTGTTAAAGGGTCTTGTGGATGTGGTGGGACTTGATGAGCTTTGTGGGCTTGTGGATTTTTTATACCCCCTACCAAGGAGGTAAATCATTTTATTAAAATATTCTTCCAAACTAAGTGAAAAGAAATATTTAGTGATTTATCTATGATGAGCTTAATAAAACTTTTCGCTATACTCTTGTTTTAAGGATTTTTTACTCTACTGTATTTTTCTCAAAGTGAGAGCATTAAAACTAAGGTTAGCTGAACATTTGTCTTCAGTCTGTCAGAGGACAGTCATGCTAATGGATTTAATCTGGCCATTCTGAAACCCAGACCTTCAGAGAAAAATGAAGGGTATGCATTTAAAATAGAGTACTTAAATTTATCATAGTATTCTAATCATTTATAAGACATTGTTTGTATGATTTTCAGTACAAAGATGCAAACACACACACATATGCTTTTTGGGGAAAGAAAACTTTTCTTATAAGGACCTCATAATTCTATTGGGCTTATAAGCAATATCATTGTTTTGTGTTTTATGAAGTGATGTGATTTATTTTTATACAGTAGTGTGATCTGTGTTTTTATTTAAATTCCATGAAGTTATAAAAGGGAAAGTCCTTTAGATTTCCTTATCAGACACTCAAAATATATCATTTGCTCATGTCTGAAAAGCAAATATAAATTAACATGGAGTTTAAATTAAAATATTAACATTTTTTATGAATTCAGTTCTGCTGATGAAGTGAAACCTTCAAAATAACTGATTATTATGATGAATTTTGGTTGACTTTATAAAGTATATCAAGGGCACAGTTTTCACATATTTGTCCTTTGAATTATAGAATGGAGAATATTCTGGTAAAATTCACTATACCTACCCATTTTAATGAACTGAGGGGATTTCAAAGTGGTAATACTTGCTGTACATTTATAGTTTTTATATTAATTCATGAATTGTTTTTATATTTTTCATCATCAGTCAAATGTTAATGAACATTTTTGCTGTCTTTAAAAATTAAATATTGTCAATATTTGTTATAGACAAGATCAGTGACACCTGTATTTATTCTCACTGGTAGTATTTTCCAGTGGCATATTGCTTAACTGTTTTCTGAACCATCTTGTGTACTGCTTGGAATCTTAATCCATTTTCCCTACAATAGTGATTTTTTTAAGAGTTATGTTTTGCTTTAAAATAAATTAAATACAAGAAAATTTTATTAATTTATGAATGGATACTTTAGTTCCATGTTCTCTTTCAAAACATATTTTTTATATTGATAAATTTACTAATGCATGGAAAAAGCTTCGCTAAAAATGACATGACAAAAAAAGTATGACATTTGCTTATTTCAAATCAGACAACATGAATAAAACATGAATTGCTTTAGCAAACATTGACAAAATAGTAAAAGTACAACATTTGAAAATTGGTCATTTACAATGAGCTATAGATGATTTGACCTCCATTTCAAACTCACATTTGATAACCCCACACTGAAAATGTCATGTAACTGTTCAATGACTGGAGATCAGTTAGCATTTTAATTAGTATATAGCATTCACAATAGAATAAAACCTTCACAATACCTCATTGTTGTTTTCAGCCTGTGAGCTTTGTGTTTGTATGGCGACTGTGAAGTATATTTTGCCTTGAGTGATAATAGGTACTCGGCAACGATTCTGGACAGTCACTGGGCAAGGGTAAAGGATCAAGCTATTTCTACCCAGACTTGTAGTGTTTTGGCAATGACTGATTTCAATGAAGAGATCCGCCATTCTACTTAATAACCCAGAGTCACTAGAAAGCTTTGTTAGCCACATAACTCTTCCTGATATACTCAGGGACAGTTTGAATTTATATACATGTCCTTTTGATTAAATAATTTTGAATTGTAGGTCTAATGCACTGTGGCAGAGGGTCACTGGTAGTTTTGTGGTGGACAGGATGTGCTATCACATTTTTGAAGAAGTTTGAACATATATAATATTGTAAACCATGTTAGCTCAACCCCAAAAAGAGAGAGATAAGATTTGCACCCTTTAATATGTCAGACATTTTATGAACATGTCTTAAATTTAATTTTTTTATTTACAGAAAATCTTCAAAAATTTCCTGATATCATCACAAAACCCAAAGCCATTGAAATGTTATTTACACTCTATCCTCCTCAAGGAGCCCATGTACATAATAACACAAAACGACTTAAGTCAACTTGGCTGAGACCCATAGTGAATGGGGAAGAGGGATACAGATACATAGGTAAGATGTTGAGCTTCTATATTCATTCCTTTTACTGTTTCCTTTCCTAATAAAGAAGAAATTTGCCTTTACTTTTTATAAGTGTTAACTGTCAGCTAGGTGATGTGGGATAAACCACCATCCCTGTAGAAGACTTCCTTTATTTCCTAAGTGTTATGTCTAAAAATTGAACAGGTGGCTACTTTTTATTGGTGCCCCCATTAGAATAGTGGAAACGCAGTGTTTGTATCCTTCACCTGATGATGGGCATTTGTGGTGTTGCTCTGAAAGTGACACTCAAGAAAGCTGTTGTGAACCCTCATGGACATAGTCATGTGTATACACATGCTTGCATTTCTCTTGACTAAACTATTTTCTGAAGTGATCATATCATTTCATATATCCCATAAGCAAAGATGTGGGAGTTATATCTGCTCCAGAGTGATAGTGTTACTTTGTATAGTCAATCTTTCTCAGTTTAACTATACTAGTAGAAATATATTGGTATTTGATTTTAATTTGCCATTCTATAGTAAGTAAAAATATGCATCACCTTTTCATATGTTTTGTGATTTGTGCATCTTCTTTGGTAAAATATCTTCACATTTTTGGGCCATATGTAAATGGCCCAAACATTTTTATTATAAAATGTTGGCAATACATTAGATAGTCTGGATATGAATTCTCTAGCATATATATTCTTTGTAAATATTTCCTCTCAGTCTGCTGTTTTTTTCTTCCTTTTAATAATGTATTTTGAAGAAATTAAGTTTTTAATGTTGATGAAGTCTTATTTACTACTATGTTGTTTATGAGAGTCCTGGAATAACTATTATTGCCAAGAAATGTTGGTATCACCTTTGATTACAAAGTTTTCCTCCTGTAATTTTGCAGTTTTAGATCTCACATATCAGTATATGATATAATTTGAGTTACTTTTTTGTACATGACACAAGGTTTAAGTTCTTTTTTAGAAAAACGTAGTGCTATCTAAATGTTCAAGCACTATTTGTTGATAAAACTATCCTTTGATGAATTAATTTTGCATTCTGGCAAAACCCAAAAAGATAAAAGAAAATATGTAGATGGAAAGTGAACTCATGAAAAGATTATGTGCATCATTGCCTTAGGGGATCAAATTAAAACCACAGTGGGTGTTACTGCTGTCTAATTAGAATGACTGGGCTGGATTTTAAAACCTACCAAGTCTGGAAATGACGTGGTGCAGTAACACTCATACGTTGCTGGTGGAGATGAAAGAAAATAAACATCCAGTTTCTAAATATCTTGGTAGTTCTTTATAAAGTCAAATATACAGTAACTGTAAAACCCATTCATCCTACTCCTACATAGTTACTGAAAAAAAGAAAGTGTTTATAAAAAAAATCTATGCATGAACATATATAGTATATAGTAGCTTTAATAATTATTGCCCAAGACTGGAGGCTGTACTGACCTTATTCAGCTGTTAAGTGTATAGCAATCTGTTATGTTTATGTAATGAAATTCTACTCATTAGTAAAAAGTATGAATTTTTAGTACACATAATATATACCATATGGATGAATGTTAGATATAGTCTGCTGTCTAAAAGAAGCCAAATTCAAAGACTATATATTGATTCCATTTAAATGGATAAAGCAAAACTATTAGAAGGACAGACATGAATTCTGTGGTTGCCAGGCCATAGTGCTGCTGGAGGGTTGGCTGCAAGCAGGCAATATGAGAGCTTCCTCAGATGGATGGAGCCATCTGCATCCTGATCATGGGAGTGGTTACAGGACTGTAATCTTAGTCAAAATGAAATGTACACCAGAAAGAGTGGATGTCACTGTAATAAAACAATTTAAAAATAAACATAAAATGAAAAAGAATAATTTATACCAATGGAATACAAATTCATAAAAGATGTGCACCATTGTTAGTCATTAGGAAAATATAAATTAAGCCATAATGGGATACCTCTATACACCTGCCATAATTACTAAAATTAGCACATTGAACATAACAAGCTGTGGCAGCAACTGGAACACTAATATTCTGCCAGTGCAACTCAATGTAAAATGGTAAAATTACTTTGTAAAATAGGCTTTATTAAAAAGTTAAAATGTGGCCCTCCCTGGTGGCGCAGCGGGTTAAAGCATAGCACTGAGAATCTAAAGCCGCTTCCTTATGAGTTCGATTCCCGCCTGCCCAGGAGGTGACCACATGGCGTGACAGACCTCTCCTGACCTGCCCGCTGCTCCCCTCAGCAGTGTATTTCGTTGATCTGCCTGTTCTGCACTCCACTCTGTCTCTGGTGAATTCTCTCACCCTCCACATCTCTGGCCTGTATCCCAGTTCTGTATGCACAAATAAAATAAAATCTTAAAAAAAAAAAGTTAAAATGTACTTAGTATGTTATTATATATTTAACTGAGAAAAAGTCTATGTGTCACAAAAAACTTCTACATATTCAGCTTTTGCTGCAACTTAAAGACAACTCAGATAACCATCTACAATTAAGAGGGAAAACAAATTGTGGTATATTCATGCACATTACTACAGGCATTTTGTAAAGGAATAAAACCATTAATAGTAAAGATACACAAACACAGGACTGAATATCAAAGAATTTTGCTGAGTATAAGAATATGATTTCATTTATATACAAGTCTAGAAAAAAAATGCATGAAGAAAACAGCTCTATGGTTGACAGGGATGAGATGGGGAATGGAGTGTGAAATGTGATGAATTATAAAAATTTTATTTGTGGGGGAAGATTTTAATGACCTGGACTCTGGTAATATAGGTACATTGTACTTTGGTGATATTTTGGAAAGATAAATTTTCTTTACAGTTAAAGACTAGCATGTTAACACTTGTCTACAAAATCACAAATTTAACAAAATCTTATCAGAAAAAGATGCTTTTATTAAATAAAAACATACTTAATACTCAGTTTAGATAGGCAGATAGACAGATAAACAGAGCAAATCAACTGATAGGTAGATTTACTGAGGAGTTCTAATAGATAGCCTAGAGGAAGATGAGGAGGGAAGAAAAGGAGAGAAAGTTATGGAAAAGTAAAATGAAGTCTTCAGATTCCATGAGTCAAGATCCTGATGTGATTAATTTTCTCTCTAAAATTTTCTACCCCAAATTTACAGAATGTGACACCTATATCGTTCAAAATTATTTGTATTTGTTGTCTAGATTGTCTTTTAAACATCTGGTTCAAGTAAAACAAATATAAAGGAAATATGTAAGTGGTATGTTCTAAGTGGAGGATTCCATCTTCCAGTGCTTTGTTGCTCTTTTCCCTTTTTGGTAACTGACCAGGGCTCCATGACTCTTTGAATTACAGTTGTTATTAAATTGATTGATTAGATAGTCGCAGCATTTGCCTTGAAAAAAGATTAGTTTAGTACAGAAGTGCTTTCCAAAACTCAGTGACTTCTCAACTATAAACATTTTAGGGAAGATAGCTCTGGGAATTTATTATATGTTTTGTTATTAACACTCCCCAATGTAGACACTTCTGCTTATTGACTTCACTCTTTATCTTTGGAGATGTATTATCAGCAAGAGCTGAGGAATAGTTAATAGAGTTACTGAATGCCTATAAATGACATGGATTGCTAACAAATTATGTGTTAGGACCATACATATACTAACAATATTTTACATATCATATTTTTATATCCCATAATTTCTAAGATGTTTTGAATGCCACTGCTTTGCTGTATATCATAATTTCAATTTACTTAATATATAAAAATATTTCTCCTGCATCATAATTTTATAAACTTAAAATATTAACAAGTTAAAAGAAGAAATCTTTAACTTTTTTTCAGTACATAAATCTTGTCAAATTAATTTTCAGAAAAGTTATCTTGGAAGGTTAGCCTTTTATTACTAGTCTTTGGATATCTTTTACTGTAAGTTCTCTGTTCTGGGGCTACCCAACTCTCTGGCCTATCACAAATATGTTGGATTTGTTCTTCTCTCTCATTTAAAACTTTTGTGACCCTGGTGGATTTTCAACCTGAATATCACTGACCCTGTGACTCCTGGAATTCTAACGGACATACCTTGAAAATTGTGGGTTAGCATTATCTCTTAAGGAAATACCTTAAAAGACAATTCACTGGGGAAGCTAATGAATGACTACTTTATCAAACTGTTGGTCCACTCTTTTTTTTTTTCTTAAGATTTATTTATGTGTGCATACCGAATGAGGGTACAGGCTGAGGTGCAGGGGCAGTGAGAGGACTCACCAGAGACAGAGTGGGAGGCAGAACAGGCAGACTGACAAATACACTGCTGAGTAGTCATGGTGAGGGGAGAAGGGCACAGCAGACCTCTCCTGCTGAGGTCATGTGGGTCACCACCCTGGTTGGTGATCGAACTCCTACTGAAGTAGCTCTGGCTAGCTTCTTAGTGCTGCACTTTAACCCATTGTGCCACCAGAAAGGGCCCTAGCCCACTCTTAACCAAAGTCATATTATTATAATCATGTAAGGTTTCTAATTAGTTAGATTCTCAGTAATGAACAAAGGCCATTAGTTCTACAATTGTTTTGTATGTCACTTCCAGCTCTCCACCTAGTAAATCTTACTTACCCTTATAACCTATGACTATTTAATTTATGTAATTGATACTGGAACTGTATTTACGAATATTTTTGATGAACACACTTGCAAAGGTCTTCAAAATCTTCACAAACTGAATTCAACAATACATGTATATATGTATCCAAGAGGGATTTATTCTAAACATGCAAGGACAGTTCAACATATGCTTAACAGTCAATGTAAGTTGCCTATCAACATAATGGACAAAAGTCATATGATCATTATCAGTAGATCAGTAGATCCAGAGGAGAAATTAATATGATTCAGCATCAACTTATGATAAAAACTTAGTAAAATGGAGTTTGAAGGGATAAACCTCAACATCATAAAGATCATATGTGCCAACCCCACAGCTAGTACCATACTCAGTGGTGAGAAACTGGAAGCTTTTCCTTTAAGATCAGG